AGTGTTATCTCCTTGTCCACCAGGTTCAGGTTGCACAAAGGAGGCTTCACTTTGCTCCAATTTACACGGTTGAAAGGTCGCATTTTCTTGTGGGAGTGACTCAATAATCAGCTGCAAGCTGGAAGCATGTGGAGCGTCGAGAACTTGACCTAAAGACCAAACAGTTGTGCTCATTTCACTGATCATATGAAATTCACATCTGCTCTTGAATCTAAGACAGTCTCGACCAGCTCCAAGCAGATCAACGACATCCTCTCCTGTCATACCCTGGCTGCACAGCACCGCATTCCTGACCGGAAAGGATTGTGCGAAAACAGTGTCAATGATGAGAACTCGTTGATTCCTTGCTCCTTGATGATCAGTCAGAACAACCAGATCCAAAGGCATAACCCTTAAGGTCAAAGGCATCAGAAGAGGGAAGATCATGGACACACCGAACTCATCCGTACCTACAACATCGGAGATAGTCCTTATAAGAGACTGAGAAAAAGGGAAGTTCGGTTGTAAAATGGCAGTGCGCGCAAAATGCGAACAAGCTCCTGTCACAATCCACACGTACACTGTCGACACTGTGTCCTTCGTTATGGGAAGTCGATCTGAAATATACTGCCTTGCAACATCGGCTATTCGAGAGATTTGATCACTAAGCCTCAAGACCCCATAATGTGAGCCAGAAACGACAACTCCATCTGAGTTTCCGTGGGCACGGACATATGCAGCCAAATCTCGTAAGGCTTCCGGTGACTCAAAATCAGTCTGCATAAGGACATGCTCTTCTACGTCGTCCCCCTCCTCATCAATTGAAGAGGCATTTGTCGAAAACTCAGAGGCTTCCGCATCACCTGAACTATCGCAAGTAGAGCTGCCGCTACTACTATCACTGTCGGGTCCCAATTCAGACAGCATCATAAACATGCCTTCATAAATAGGCACTACTTGGAAAAATGCATAGGTGATTTCTCCTGCATCAGCTGGCACTATCACAGTGCAGGTGTTCTGCCACAAACAGACATTTTGCGGAATGATCAGCTGGAAGAGCTCGGAAACAGTAGGGAATCTTCTTGTTCTCAATATGAAAGTCCTTCTATACCTATCATCATCAGACACGTATTGAAAGAGGACCGGTGTATACCCTTCTCCCTGAACCGTAGTGACAATAAAATTTGGTTGCCTTCCAATCGCAGTCGTAGGGGCAGGACGTACAGGGAAAATATAGCATGTCCTTCTTCCATACACATGAGCCCAAACCCGTCTGATTTGCTGGTCGACAGGCTCAAAGAAGCGAAGAGCTAGAGTGGTATATTTCCTGCAGGCGTTTCCAATTTCGTCCGCTGTATGGAGCCAAACCACCACACGGACTGGATCTGGAACGACTTGTTGCACATACTCTAGCAATCGATCTTCTCTTCGTGTCGAAAATTGCATAAGGCATTCGTCATCGCTTAAGTCTGTCGTGGCATCATGGTCAACTTCTTGGAGATAGTCATGAGAAGATGTTTGGACTAGCAAGTCAATGTTGCATCCTGTAGCAGGTCTAGGGGCGTTTGGCTTATCATCGTAAGTCTTTCCGCATAATGCAGCTACAGACTTCTTGCCTTGCATGTCACCTACGAGGCCGATCAGTGCAATCTCCGTGTATTTGCAAATCGTACAGGCACGGTAAACAAACATCTCGTGGGTTGTTTGGATTCCAATGCTCCTGGGAACTTGTCGGATTGTAAGAAAAACCGGAGTGCACCTGCGGTTGAAATCAGGAACCTCATAAACTAAGACATGCAAAGCTTGTCGCAAAGTCGCAAGACTTGTTGGCCTCGGTCGAATAGCCGAAAAACTGCACCTATTTCGACATCGATCATGCCACATTTCATTCACGACTTGCTCCAAATTTCCATCTTCTCCATAAGAAATTCGTCGACTCCTGGCCTCTGACCCACAGGCTGGTCCGCTAGGAGTGAACCACGTAACCAGATGAAAGACTTCCTCTGGGCATGATAGTGGCAGTGAAACTGGCCGATCAAAGGTGTGTCCAGCAGTGTCACTATCGTTCCTCAATTGCATCAAGGAAAGTGCATCTTCATCTTCGATAAAAGCCCCACTAGCAGAATTACACAAAGAGGTCTTGCGTATCTTCTCAAAATGTGGTGAGTCATGCACAGCTCCACGGACAGTATGGTTGCTATCCGGAGCAAACATCCTTCTGTAAACCAGAGTAGGCGCTTGTTGGCCTGGAAATTCCACAATGTCAGCGAAGTTCCCACAAAATTCTCCAGTAGCAGAGGAATGTCGAAGGCCGTAGGTTCTGAATGATGTCGCAGAAGAACGAGATGGGTACTCACAAGGCCCTGGAGTATCCTCATCTGTCGGTTTGCCTGTGCTTCTTAAGGAAATGTCACTTCCATTTCCCATCTAGTTCGCCATGATGAAAAGGGCGCTCCAATGGATCGACCTTCTTGGAAGACGATGCAGAGTCAATCTCCTTTTCCCACAACGAGAGCATCTGGCCGGCATCTTAGGAACACATTCTTCACGAAATCGGAAATACGTGATCCCAGCCCAGCAAAATATCAACCCAAATAAATACCAGCAGGAGTACTGGAGGATATGCACACCGCCGAAACTCCCATAGCCAGTTTCATCTTCTTCAGCGCATTCCAGAAGAATCACCTTGCATAATGCAGCTCCCAAAAGGGGGATCACATCAGCATCATCAATTCTCCATTCTGGCCAGAAATACAATCGTTTCCGCTGCAGAAAGAAATTCCGCAAATTAGACAAGTATGTCGGGCTTTCTCGGAAAAAGCTAACCCAACATCCAATCCCAAAAGAGAGAAAAAGGACCCATCCTAAGTGACTCAAACACTTGAGGAAAAAACCGGAAAATCTTCCACAAATCTTCCAGCACAGGTCACTTAGGGTCAGGTGATTAACACAATCAAAAGCTCCAGGATCCCAAAGCCATCTGCCAAACTGATCCAGGGCCACTGACGATATATGCCATCGTATGTCCCATACATACTCAGCAATTCCTTTGATCACGAACGTTCCTGCATCATATGGCAGAGAGGTCATGGTCTCTTCAAACTGATTCTCAAAAACCGGAGTAGCACAGCTGCTGCCTTGAAACTTGGCGCACCCTATACTATCACAGTTTTGGTCTAAGACATCACATCGACATTGAGGAACTGGCCTCCTCCCGGAGTAGTCTCCAGGGGCTTTGGCTTCTCCCCTTTTGGGGTATAAGGCCCCTCTGCACTCTGTCTGAATCTGTTGACAGTCTTGCGAAAGGGGCATAATGCCTGGCTGTGAGCAACAGGAAGAGCCGATGAGGTAGTTTCCCCGTTCTTTGAGGTCTCGGAGATTGCTGACTCCTGGAGTAGCTGGTGATGAACATTTCTCAGCAAATCCTGCACAACCTCCAAAGATTGGTACTCTTCCGGCTTTTCCTGCATCATCTGCCATGCTAGCATTTGACATTTCTCTGGATACTGAGTCATCTCTTGCTGTATGGCCTGGTCGAAGGAACTTGCTTGAGCCATTTTGCTGCTTGTCTCGCCAGAAGCAGGCGGGGACCTGGATCGTTCCCTTTTCCGGCGCTCCTGATCTGCATCCTTTTCTTCTTTGATCTTGATGCAAGCTGCTCTCGGCCTTACCATTTGCTCTGGCGAGGATTTGGTCGGAATTGTAGGGATGGCCGTTCCCTGGAGACATCCAACCAGTGTAGCGATCTGCATCTGCACCTGTTCCAGCATGTTTGCATTCTTCTGTTCGACAGCTGACGTATAGGTGGCAAATTTCTCGAAGGTGTCTTTGACGTCTGCCAGCTCCTTCTTGAGCGTCTTGTTCTCCTCGCCGTCGGACTCCACTTCGATGGGAGCTGGTTCCCCACTCTCTCCTCGTTCGAGGCTTTGGAGACGGGTCTGCATCTCTGCCACTTCTGTTTGATGCCTCTTCTCTTCGGTATTCACCCCAGCGGTGATGTTCTTCTTCCATCGCTGGAATCTCTCTTGAGTCTTGTCTAGCTGCTCGCGGGTTTTGATGATCTTGGTCAGTGCTTTTCTCTCCGCATTCAGCTCCTTCTGTTTCTGTCTCAAAGCCTCCCTCGGATCTTCCTTCACAAGACTGACAATCTCTTCTGGCATTTCCTCGGGAGTCGCTACCTTGGACAGGACGAACTTCATCGCTTCCTTGAGCTGTTTGTTCTCTTCCCGAATCGCAGAATCCCCCCATCCATAGGATTGCCACGACGAAGATGGTTGCTCCCCATCTTCTATATCGATTCTTTTGCCATCGTAACCTCTGAGCAAGGGTTCTTCTTTCTTCGAATTGTTGCCTTTCTTCCATTGACCTTGCCAGTTCGAGCTTTGCCATTTGTTCCATGGCATGTTCTTGTTGACCAAGAAGTCGTGCTTGTAAGCAGGCCTGGAATGGTGTTCTTCCAGAAGCTTTTTGGCAGCCAGTGTTCGGAAGGCTAGTCTTTTGCCGATACGTTTTCTCACCGGGAGCGACCGTAGCAGCAGCCTAGCTCTATGGCGTTTAGCGCGGAGGCGCCTGTGCCACCTAGGGGACCTAAGGGCGTGCGTAATTACGCACTGGGGCCGAAGTCGTTCCTAATCGCCTCTATAGGCAAACTAAGCAATCTTGAGCCCTCGAGCCATTCAGTTGCGCATGTATTCAGCACGCATGTTCTTGAACCTGTCGCACCGCGACAATGACTCGATGATCGCGATCATGGCTGATCGAGATGAGACGCCACGCCTCAGCGGCGGCCCATCAGGATGGAAGGGACTCATTGCTTCAGTGACTGAGTTCCAAAAGCTAAAGACAAACCAAACAATATTGAAAAAGAACAACCAAGAAAAAACATACCTACCTACTTCCCCTATGTTTTGGTTGTTCGATCATTCTTATTGACATGTTTTGGGATAGTTATATTGGTGGTCCCCTTTCCGCTGGTGCCGGTTCCTGTCCGGTGCTGTCACTGGATGCACGAAGACACCAAGGCCCCATGGCCTGTCGTTGATGGTCGCGGGAGAAGAGGTCTTCGAATGGGAGGCCCCCACGGTCCGGACTCGACCGCCGCTGTACGTCGCTCGTCGCTGTACGTCGCTTAGACGGACGTTTTTGGGGCCGCTTGACGGGTGGCAACTGTTTATGCGTGCCCAAACGGCATAAACATGTTGCATCACTGGAAGCTCCAGGTATGCACGACACACGACGAGTCAACGCCTTGGGGTGCATTGGGGCACCTCGACAAGATTGCCCTGGCTTAAATGGAAGACGTGATTCCAACCTGTGGGCCTTTTGATTTTTTGAACCATTGTAGAACTTGACAAGTTCTCTGCTTGCAGAGGAGTTGCGTGTCATCCACTTCCATGTTTGTTTGTTCGATGGAGGGTAGAAATGTTGTCCTAACAACTATTGGGGTCTTAGATTTTGGTTTGCAAATGTGCTGCATAAGCTGGGAGTGATGTAGACAAGGACGCCACAAAAATCCATGCGAAGCTGTGTGGACATCACGAAAAGTTCAGCAAGACAAAGACTCTTGTTTGATTTACTTCAGGAGTTTGAATGGGTGGAGTTCTGGAGAGGTGTGAAAAGGCCACCACCCCAAAATTAACAAAAGGATCAGCCAGTGAAGATGTTTGAAGACACGATCTACCGTGCGCATGGGCCCTACTTGTTTGCGGGTCAAAACGGAAAAAAACGCCTGGACGACCCGCTGAAGGACTTCCAACTGAACATCCCACCGCTCGCCGGCGACAGGTGGAGGGCAAGACGAAGCTGCGAGAGATTCATCTGCGAGATGCGGCGAACGTCTTGGCCACGCAGATGCAGGAGTTGCGTGGTTTTTTGGACGGAGAGGAGGTGGGATTTGTGATGGGAAGGCTGCTTGTTGGGCTGGTGGATTTAAGTTCACACATTGGTGGGCTGTCGCAAGTTGCGTGCAACTTGCCCCTTTGGTACTAATCGTGTCTTTTGATACTGTGTTGGCGAACATCCTTACGTAAACACCACAGATGGTCCTGATACTGTACGGGCATGTCAGAGAAAAAGGTGTCACAACTCCATCATGGCACCCAGAAGTGCTGGTGAACACCTAAACGAGCTTGGCGACGTCCAAGTTGTACGGCTAAAAATATAGACATGTCGGAATCGCACATCATTGAATTACATGGTAAAGCCACATGTATCCAGGAACCCTACCGTATTGGACCGGTGCCGTTTCCGATCTGAGACGGCCTCCAAAACCTGCATCGACTCCCCAAGTCGGTTCCCTTGTTGGATCCATCGGGACGGTGGGTGGGGTTGCCCTGGTCGGGCGGACCCGCCCGTTTCCGACCTCCTGGCGTGGCTTCCACGCCAAGACTTTTCTCGGCAAAGCCTTCGAACAAAATCACCGTTTTGGAAGATGGGTCGTGACAGACCTGGAGCCCCAAGTTCACCATGTAGACCTGGTTCGACCAACACCAGTGCCGGGGTCATGCCTGTTTTCGGTCCACCGCCGGGTTGTTCGAGCCGTTCGAGTTTGTTAAAACCTCCGTTTCCCCAGAGGCCCCCACTTCGTCGGTGCGGCGACCGAACCGACGAAGTCCCTAGGCCACCTCCCCCTGCGGCGGTTACGTGGCGGTGGCCAACGCCACGACGGTGACGGCGGCTTGGCGGCGGTGAACCAGGGCGGAACGGGTGAGTGAACTGCGAGGCCCATGGCGCGCCACAGGGGGATTTTCAGCTTGGAAGATGGGGGAAGGAACAGGAAAGGGAACCCGGGGATGGAACAGGTGGACGTTCGCTTCCAAGCTTTGGCAGAAATTGTCCAGCAAACGGACTGACCAGAATGGGAAATTACAGGTTTGACGAGCGGAACAGGCTCCATGTGGGACGATGCAGTGGAGGGGATGAACCCTATCTTTGGACGGGACCCTTCCCACTGTCCCTACCTACTATCCAGCGAAACCACAGCCAAGGGAACGGGCTTGGGATAATCAGCGGGGAAAGAATCAGGGCCTTCTGAAATCACACACACCTTCTGCCTTGGAAGGTGCTCCTCGTGCCGCATGAGGAGAAAACCCTCCCATGCATTCCCTTGCCATGCCGGGGCCGTCGATGGGTCAGCGACCCGTCGGCGGGGCCGGGAGGTGTCCCTCGGAGCTCGCTCGGAGCAACGCATTTTCCTCGGTTGAAAAAGGGTTTCCAGGTGTTTCCCGCCTCCGATAAGAGCAGAGAGGAGGGGATAGGGTGTCCAGCAGCAGAGGATAATAGGTGGTTTTTGGGGTCGGAAAGTGGGATGTCTCTGCAAGAAGGGTTCATGCTACGCCCACCATGTTTGCTCGTTTCGATTCAAGAGGTTCTTGGATACTTGAGATGATTCTGAATATTCCGATTGGATTGGATTGATAATTTTGTCAATCAATGGTTGTGTGGAGTTTGAGTCAACAGGCCAGGCAGCAATTCAAGGATCCGTGCCTAACAAAAGGCACCAGGCGGCTTGAGCCTTATTTCAGGTTTTTTTTGGATGGTTCTCTCGAAAACTGCACACAATCAGGATGACTCAGAAACTGTGCGCAGGGAGCTGCTTTGGAAGACTTCCCTAGACACTCTTCGCCGCTCTCCTTGGCCTCTCGGGCACTGTTTCTTCGCCGGCCTTCGCATTGAGGTGCATCGCCTGATGTCCAAAGGACAAGAGGCCGTGCTGAACCGCAAGGTGCGTGACAACTGCTTTTGCCGTGCGAAGCGCTTTTTTGACCCGTGCCACACCGGGAAGCGTTTTTTTTCCCACGCGCGTTCAAACCAACGCGTGGGGAGGAGAATTGGGTGAGTGAAACCGGCTGGCTTGACACTGGGATGGTGACCGGTCAAGAAGAAGGACGGTTTTCTGGGTATCTCCATGCACTTTTCCAACATGAGGAATACCAATAGATAGATACTCCATGGCTTCTGTTGGTACAATTTGGGTTTATGACGACAACCTGGTCAGGTTGACGGCCTGAATCCCACAAAGATTTGAGAGTCGGGTGACAGCCATCAATCACAGATGGGGACTTGAATTGGACTTGATTGGATTTGTGGATTTGACCTCTCCTGTTAAGTAGATAGTGGATTCGGAGGGGGGGTTGGCCCAAGATGAAGCTGCCAAGAACGAAAAAGGTAGGAGTCCTCAAGAGTCCTCCTTGTGGGCATCAAGGGAAATGGTTGATATGAAGGCATTGGAAAATATGCGTTGTAAAAATGATAACGTTAGGTCATCTCATCTTCAAACCCTTGTAGATACTAGAACGTGGAGCAAATAGAGACAAGAACGGTTGGCTATTTACCCTGATTATCCTGATTGTCATCACAAATTTAGATATGGCCACGGCTTCGCAACGACCGCCAACGATCATCGAACATTGAAGCACCGAAAGGAAAGGACTGGGGGCACGGGTTCACCGGAATCGATTGATCTCTCTTGTGGATCCTCTCCGATTCAGAGGTGGGCTCTGGTGAAGATGAAACGGTCAAGAAAGAGCGATCGAAAAGGAGCCATGAAATAAACATGCTGGCATCTTGCAATAGATAGAACATGGAACATGTCAATAGGTTGACAGTTTCCCTGGTGTTTGGATGATTTCCCTAAAAGTGCTCCTGATCCTTCGATGAAGTCCTTTCCTGAAGTCCTCCAGTCTGCTTTCCCATGTTTCAATTCCAACACCTCTTCTCCCTGTCAACACATGCAATGATGTGTTTGACATCGTCGCAGGTCACGTCGAACATTGTCGCCTTGGCCTTCTCCTCCAGACACTTCTTAGCTGTGGGGACCATCGAAAAGAAGGCCAGATCGCGCGGAGAGCGCGATCCGGGCGGGACCTCGGAGGCAGTCGGCAGTCGGTTGGGGCGGGCCGAATCGGATGTTATGTTTTTGGGGTTGTTCCCCTTCTAGTTCGGCAGGGCCTTGAAGTAGGGACTGTGCCAAACATGCTTTGAATGTGAGTAACACAAGCGCAGTTGGAACCCTAGGAAAGTTGTATAACTCTGAGTCACATCCATAAATCATCCTAAATACATGAAACATCATGATCAGCGCTCAAATCCATGTTTGTGGGCGCTCTTCGCTGTTCTGCAGGACTGGAGAGCATGTCACCCTCTTTTTCAGGCTGCCCTCCAGATGTGATAGACTCATAGATTCATAGACTTTCGACAGCAAACTCTTGGTGAAGCCATTCCAAGTGGTGGCTTTTTCTGTCCCGCGAATTCAGAGGAGCCTTTCGAATTCCAAGAATTCCTTCGGAGGCATGTTTTTAGAATGTGCCATTATTGTTGTCTTTACGGGGCTGAAATCAACACGTCTCATGCCCAGGTAGTCATGGCGGGGGGCCGGAAGAGCAGGATTCATGACTCGACTTTTCTGGAGAATCGGGATCAAGACCTGGCGATGCCAGGTCTTGGTGTTTCACCTGGAAGATAGCAAGGATCGGCAGGGCGGGGGTGTTGCCCTGGCGGGGTGGATCCGCCCAGCGATCTGCACGTTCGATGATCACCAAAGGGATTCCTGGCCAACCGAGCTGTTTCAATGGTCTGAATCCCAAAGAACAGCTGTTTTACTAAGGATTTCACATGACCAAACCAGGTCAACCATTCTTTTCAATGGTCGGAACTGAAGGGTAGGGAAATTATGATCACTAGGGCGGTTTGAATCAGGGGACCAGCCGAGAGGTCAAGTCAACGTTGATCAGTTTGAATCGTCTTCAGCTGTCGCTTGGACAAGATGTTTTGGAAAAGAGTTGACACCTCGAAGCGATAGCCTGTGAGTAAAAAGCCGACCCATGTTGACAATGCCAATATTTCGGAAGGTTCTGTTCCGGCAACGTGGCGTCGCAGAGGGGAGGAACCCCGGTGGCCAAACGCACGGCCGTCGGCAACAATTAGGACTGGTCCATGTTCGAACGTGAACTCAGGGGCCGAAATTGTAACGTTCAGGGCTGGACGAGGCATTTTCCTCGACATCTAGCAGCTAGCATTTGGCGCTGGGCATATTCCGAGGTGCCCGTCATGAATATGCTGATGTGCTACATGTCCAACTTCTCCACTTGAACTATATATCTCTCCACCCTTTGTACGCAAACGAGAGTTTGTGCTAGTTGTGTTTGGGCAGAACTTGCCCTTCAGCTCCTAAGCAGCTTCGCTGCCCCACCATGTGTCATACCCACCATGCGTGGGCAGCGTCTGAGGAGCCAGAAGTCCTGGTCGCTCAGGCCCTGCTTCGACACGTGTTGCTTCGGGATGGGGTGATGTTGTGGATGACACAACCGCGCCACAAAATTCCATACATCGATTGTAGCACTGCATGCTCTTCTTGTGCGAATTGTGCTTCGTGATATTTCGTGACACTGATGAGTTCATCCAAGATGGCACAAGATGGAGGCGGTCCGTTTGTATTTTAAGATGGTTGAAGGGGATTAGTACAAAAACAGTAATGGCTATAGTGGATGATTTGCGTCGTTGAAACCGAATAGCATTGGTCTTCCTGTTGGACAAGTTCATATATACCATGGTACCTGGCACCACGGACCGAAGATGTGTCAAGCGCAGCCTGCCCACGGTTCCAAAAAAGAACCTTGCAAAAGACCCTCGTGCGATCTGCTTTTGAAAGACCCCATTCCCCATACATGGCCCTCAGTCATCCTCAGTCTATTTCATTCTTTGGTTGACCCTCCTTCACACCCTCCGAGTCACAGAAAACCCCGAGTCACCTTTCATCCTCCACTGCAGCGTGGCATCGCATCGGCGTCCCGCGTCGTCCCACCCGGTGCCGCGTCGTCGCCGCACGAGCGGCCGGAGCGAGGTCAACGACCTGTGCTTCGCACCCTCCGGGGACATCTTGGCCATCCCCGGAGGCCTGCTTCCGACGGGGGAAGCTTCCGGGCAGGTGAAACAGCGGTTGGAAGGACCAAAGACGAAGACGGACCTTTAGAGAGCTGGAAGTCTCTGAAAGGTGGAGGTGCTTCTGGGCAGTGCGTACCCTATGCACTCGAAGAATCCAGTTTGGTGTCTAAGTGTACTTGCAACATCCACGTACATGCTTTAAGGAAAGCGATTGTATTTGCAAGAGAGAGAGAGAGAGCGTTTGCTCCTAACTCTTAACTAGTCTCTTTAGCTATGCTTAAGGAAATGTTGTTGCAAGGAAAACGTTTGCTCCTATAGAACTATTCTCTTTGCGTAACTTGCTATGCTTCTTTTGCTGGGGAGTTCGATGTCCATGCCAGATGCAGCGCTCTTGGGAGTAGAGGGACGAACTGTGGAGATTGTTTCGAAGTGAAAGTGAAGCCCCAGTAAGACCTCATAGGCTGCTGTAGATATAAATGGCAGACATCACCAGGCATCCTCTAATTAAGCCATGGTAATTATCATCCAATATATGTCATCTATAGTCCCAATACTCAGCCATATACCCATTCAGCCGTGGCCTATCCTCTCTAGTCGCGTCCCAAGACTTGGTGTGACGTCGCTGGCTGTACCCGCGTGGAATGCCAGGGGATGATGAAGTGGGTCAGGTCTTGCTGTGGCGTGTGGAACGCACGGGGGCTTGGACCGGTGCGAGTCGTTTGGACCGGAAGAGGCTCAGATGAAACGGATTTCGGAGGCCCCCAGGACCCACAAAGATGTCACCCCCGTCATGGGCAGAGAAGCGTTTGATGATGGATTAGTCGTTTTCCTGGAGGTTGGACCAGATGGAAGCCCAAAACCCGGTTGGGTCGGTCTCCGAAAAATGGTCGAAAAGCATGGGTCTTTCTTCTCAGGTTCCTCATGTGACTTCACGAGGAGGTGGTATCCCCTTGTTCGTCTTGCTGGGCATGCCCGATGCTACCGGACGGTGCCCATCAGACCTGGGCAAGCTGTTCCGATCGCGCTTGCTCTATACCCGAATGGAAACATGCAATAGTAGCCTTGGAGTCGACCCCCGTCCAGAGGATTAGAGGAACCCAGAAGTGTTTAAGGAAGTTCGACCCTCTTTTCTTGTGCTTTCTGGATTGGCTTAGAAGTCATGGAACACATTCCCCCCCATAGGTCGCTGGCGGCAACTACCCACGGCCGAGCGATGTTCATATTGCAATACCACTGATGAACTTCAGCAGAAAAAGCTACTTGACCTCTCCTGTCTTGGGAGGCCAGTCTGAGTCCCCGGCAAGAGCCCCGTTTGCAGGTGAACCACGGGATGTCCATTTAGAGTAGCATGGTGCTGGTAGTGGTCAGCCTTTCCAGCCACAACGCAGCGCGTAGTATTCACATGTTTTCCTGCACCGGAACGATAACAGTAGAGACTTCCTGCGTTGACGTCTTCAGTGGAGACTCGAAAGGACTCACCGAAGATCTCTTCGAAGTGGTCACGCGTCCAGCATTTACAACAGGTCCACCACACAAAGGTCAAGGAGCATTTTACAGGTTATGGAACAGTGAGACTGTGACACTACTCCTCAAAAGTATACTTCAATACACGCACCAGTCGCACTGTCAAGATGAAACTCCCATCATCTTGAGAAAAAGGGACTCCAAAAAAAAACAGCTCACCCAATCAGACACACGATCTCCATCCACCCACCGGTTTTGGTCACCCTCATCTGCCCTCTGCACACGACCTCCCTTCGGAAAAACCGGTGTGGAGTCGGTCCATACCAGGCGAGGCCTGCATGTATTTGGGCACGGTGGCCACTCGCGGCGCCCCTCGGCCGAGACGGAATCCGTTCGTCCGCACCGTCGGTGTGGTTCGCTTTTGGGCTTTGTTCGGTGTTGGGGTCCGGGACATGGAGGGCCAGGTAGAGTCACAAAGGGTATCTACTAGTACAACATGCCTGGGAAAGCCAAAACAACCAGATGGTTGGGAACAAGTTCTGGCGTGTTCGCGTGTTCGATCTTTTGGAGAATGGCTGGGACTGGGGAGTTCTATTGTCTTTCTGGTGACTGGGGAAACCCAGGAAGGGTATGCGGAAAGACCATGACTGGGCAGTCACCTGGGAAAAAGGGAAAGGCAAATGGCACATGTTTGACATGTGCAAAAAGATCCGCCAAGGCAAGTTCGTTCGAAACCTGCAAGTTCGCTCGAAAAATCCTTCCGAACTCTCATTTGGCTGATCTGATCTATACTCCCCCCAAACGACTTCACGGAAAAGAAACGCCCACAGAATTCCGGCTCCACCTCCAAACACCGCCGGCAGGTGGCGCTGTGCGCGCGCTTCGACGAGACGGGTGACATCTTGGCCGTTGGATGCGGCGCGGCGGAACGGAGGGAAGGGTGGAACGGGAGCGCTGAGTCATTTGGGAAGGGAAGATAGGAGATGGAAAGATGGACTCCAAGTATACTCAAGTATTCACTCACTCATTGACTCCATAGTTTGGGAGGTAGATTGAAGTGGTTTGGGTGGGAGTCAGTGGCTGCCATTGACTCGAGTTCCGGAACGGTGGGCGGAAGAAATGCGATCCCGCTTCCTTTGGAACTCGTATACTGCACTGAGCGTGTTCGCTGGAAACCAAGCCGCAGCAGCCTGTCCAGTCTGGACATCGGTGGTGTGTTTCTATTTTTGGAGGCTGACAAAGGCCATTTGATAGAAGAAGAACCACATCACGCGACGCGCGTCGCGGATCTTAGATCCGCGGCAAGGTCAGCAGTTTCAGTTTACCCTGGGAAGATGTTTATGGGCACATGCAGCATTTGATGGACATGTCCATGACAGACATACTTACCCTACGGCTCGTGCTGAAGCTTTGGCCACGCGAGCTCGTGAAGCTTTGACCGTCAAAGGAAACATGACATTCCGAGCTGGCTGAGTGGGTGAAAGGTGCCAGCGTGCGGGTCGCCTGGATCGACCATCAGCGTTGTTCAAGAGAGAAAAGCTTGCAAAGACACTGATTGAGAAGTACAAGTCCGTTGGTTTGGAACCGCCTTTGACTCTGCTTGAAATGGCTCACGACACATCAATGTCCAAACGAACGTTGGAATCAGCAATGTGGTGGGCCAGAAGTGAACCATCTAGGTGATATCGACCATCCCATACAGTAACCGCGAGTTGTTTGATTTCACTGGAGCTATCTCACTTCAGATCCGGGAAGAATGCTCGTAAGTGTGGCAGTCTCCACGAGACGGCAGGTCAAGGTGGCGGGTGCTCCCAAGCCGCCGGCGCGCCCCTGCGGCTTGGCGGCGGCACACTTCGGGCATTGGGCAACAACCCCTTCAGCTTGCCTAACCGCCGTGGACGCTCCAGATGCGTGTACGTTTTCGGGCTTGTGGTTCTTTTTCGTAGCAGGCGAAAGGGTAACCTCGCGTTTTCATCCAGAGTCGGGCAGGCGCAGGGGATCAGACCTGTTGTACTCGGATGCGCAGACTTGCAGAAGGCGCGGTGATTTCGCGGCGCGCAGCGTTTTGTGGACCCTGAAGCGCAGCATTTTGTGGACCCTGAAGCGCAGCATTTTGTGGACCCTGAAGTGCAGCTTCGTGGCAGGCACAGCATTTTGTGGGCATTGAAGTGCAGCTTTGTGGAAGGCGCAGCAGTTTGTGGGCATTGAAATGCAGATTTCGTGGCAGGCGCAGCATACGTGCTCTCAACCTAGGCCTCTAGAACTCTGGACCTAAACCTTCACTTCTAAACTTGGTGTGTCAACCTCAATCACCACCGTCACCACCGCCACCATCACCACCAGTTTAGATCTCTAAGGCCTTCTACTTCTACACCCAAGAACTTAGACCTCTAGACGCACTGTTTGGGATTGTTTGCCGAGATAATTTTGATGCCTCACCCGTCCACTTGACCCTCCTTAAGAAGTCCTGCCCCCCAAATCCTACCCGGTCTCTTGCCGCTCGAGAGTGGTGCTCCAATTTCCCGGACTTGCCGCTCAGGTGATGACGATCGGATCGTCCTGCTTTTGCCGGAGCATAGCTTCAAGTGCTGGCTTGGGAAACCCAGACGGTACCGAGTCGCATGTCCGGTTTTGGGTGAAAGACATCCTCGGACATCGTCGTGACGCTAAAGCCTTAAAGGTCTCAGGGATTCTTCTCTTGCTGAGCTGGACCATGCCCCGAAAAGTGAGGTCGTTGGTTTGTCAGGTCGGGCGACGGCTGAGTCACGCCACGCGAACTCGAACCCGGACAGTTCACGTTTGGTGCAGCGCGAACCAAACCCGAAAAGCAGCAGGGGGACTTGCAGACAGCAAGCCGATGTACACGGCATATCCACTCATTTCGTCCATTCACAGTGTGCTGCGGGTGCTCTTGAACCTTTTTATAGGTTTCGGCTGCATGCTCATCAATGGAAAATGCATGAAACGTCCAAGCACAGAGCTCAGCCGCCCACCACGGGCACTCACGAAAGGAAACGAACCCAAACCCCGAACAGGACCTCCCCTTCCCGGGCAGTTCACGGCCACCCGAACTCGAACGGGAAGAAGGTCTCACATCCCAAGCAACGCCGGATGATCTGACTGATCCCTTAGCACCCCCCTTGGAATTTCCTCTAAAGAATCAGCCAACCCGGGTTGTCAAAAACCAGGCCATTCTTTAGAGTTCACCATGCATTTTTTAGAGTTCACCATGCATTTTTTAGAGTGGCAACGGAGTGTGATTCTTTAGAGGCGCACTTTTTGCCATTGTCATCATGGACTGGTACCTGGTGTTCTGATTCTTTAGGGGGAGTCCGGGTGCCACAGGTGTGTGTGCGCACTGTGCTCAACGTGTTCTGATTTTTTAGGGCCAGTGCCCAGTATGTGTTGGCAGAGTCCTGATTCTTTAAGCTGACATGTTAGTATGGGCACTGTGGATTGAGGATTCTTTGAGGTGGCAGGTGGCAGGTGGCCTCCTAAAGAATCAGACAGTCCAAGAGGGAGCCCGAATTCCAAGGGGGTTCCCTTAGCTGCAGTTTGTTTTTCAAGATGAACAGCCGTGAACAGCTATGGTCTCATGGTTTGGGTCTCGAACCTGGAACTGATCTGTGTACACTCTGTGTCTGTAATTAACGTGTAGTTCAGCAAGCAAGGTCTAGAGCAATTAGCAGTTCTAGACCAGTCACTCCAAGCCTTCCTATATACGCATCATTGGGACCCAAAACAATTCCACGCACCAAAGAAACCGTGGGATGCGACCGCGCCACGCACCGCGCGCACCGCAGGACGGAGCTCCGGTCCAGCTTCTCCGTCGCTCGCCTGGCCTTCGCGGGGAACTTCCTTTGCGCTGCGGGTGACCGCGAGGCATGTGGTGAGTGTGCTCGGTCCGGTGGTGGGTAAGCTGCACGCCAAGTAGCTTCGGAAAAGCCTCATGCGATGCGAGCTAAGGTTTGATGGAGGTGAGAGGAACAAGCAAGGTAGATTCATTCATGTGAGTCCATTGGGACTCCTTTCAATAGGCGCTCTCAGTGAACGGTTTTGATCCACTCTGAAAGAGTAGCTGAAAGACCCAAGTGAAAATCATAGTGATGCTGCAAAGCGGGTTCAAAAGCGAGTTGCCTCTCCTTGCTAAAGAGGTGGACTCGGTCAGGCGGCGATCTTCAACCTCTCCAACAGCCAGCTGGTGCTCCAAGTGCCGCGGCAGGAGGTGCAAATGGACGCGTGTTGTTTGGGAGGGATCGTGGCGGGGATGGAGAGTCAAGGTGGGAGGATGAGAACTTAGTGCCGCGGGAGCCGCGGTAGTCCTTTCTGTGCATGATGGAGAGTCAAGCAGGGATTTCACACACACCCATGTTTTTGGAGATAGATGACTTTTAGGGGAAAGGGCTTTGCCTTGGTTGACCACTTTCTGCAGGGTTCTTGCGGTTGCAGAGTGTTTGCCAACCAGGAAGCCCTTTTTTTCCAGGCCGTGGATGTGGGAAGGAGGATAGACTTCATGCAAACCACCAACCAGTTCGACCCAAGTCGATTGGTTGTGTATGGTCACCCGAAGAGTCTGGGAGCTCTCGACCCAATTCCAAGCAACGAAGTCATTGGAAAAAGAGTGACGACCCGGGAGGGTTTACGACTGCAACGAGGCACAGATGGATTGAGCGATCGCATGCGATCACTTGATGTAAACTTCTGATGAGAGGCGTTTCAAACAAACGTCCTAACATGTCACACGTTTGTTGGGAAAGGTTTGTTCACCATCCACTTGCCAACAGAGCAGGTATACTTAGCAACTATAGAGTTCAAGGGAGAAGGAATTTGGCGATGTTCCGCAGCGACCATCACTGCCATGTTTCCGTGACGATAGGCGGATAGACGTACCCCTGTCGGCTTTCAGTGTGTCTCCATTATTGGTCAAAGACCCGTCCCCGAAAAGTGCGTGGACCAGAAGACCAGGAAGAAAAACCTGGCTTCAGATGGGATGAGTCGACTGTCTTTTCGGCCGGAGAAATTGTTTTTTTCAGAACCCCTTATGAATGCTTCACATCGATATGCCATCGATGTTTACTTCGGGAACTCACATCCGTTTGACCACCCGTCATCTATCGGGTTTTCTCCCACCGAACCCGAGACACTCCGAACCCGGTCGGAGCGCAAGCGGTGGGTTTCACGTGGCGACAGGAGAAGATCAAGGACATCTCCCTCACCGGCGATGGCTGCTTGGCCTGCTGCTTCCGAGGCCGGCAGTTGAGTGGGATGAATGGATGAGGATGAGGATCACTGACCAATCGAACGGTCCGTGTCAAAGACGGATCTTTCGGATGTGCGGTGTGTGAAGTGGGTTTTCGGATAGAATAAGTATACAGCAGACCCTTCCATCGTTTCGGATGATCTCCAACCAACATCAAGACCCAAATCATCACATTGGGAACAGCTGGACGTCAGCCGTGGAGTGGTTTCACGGCCTCGGTACGGTTCTTCTTCTCTCCGGTGTGTAGCAAGGCTGTATCGCATCATTTCGGTGCGTGCTGCGGAATGCTCAAGTCAGCGTGCGTTTGAATGGTGCTTTTAAAGCTGTTAGGCAAGTTTGACAGGCCACAAAAAGAGCTAAGAAGAAGTCCAAAGGTGCTAAACGCCTAAAATCATAAAAGGAATGGAAAGAAGAAATTAAGGAAGTCCAAGAAGGAGGAAAGACCAGTTGGACAAGGAGCAGGAGAAGATCAAATGAAACAGGAAGGGGAGCTCAAAGAAAAGGAAAAGGTGTGAAACTCAGATTAGCAGAGAAACGGTCCCATCAATTCTGCATTACACCTCCTTCACTTGCTTCTCTTTGATTTACCCTCCGGCCGCCAAGCCTCTATCACAGCGAGAAGTCGTTTTGGCACCGAACAAATCCATCCAGAAGTCATGTCCAGGTCCACCTCGGAGGATCCATTTCAGTCTCAAAGGCACCCCTGAGCCACCTGGCTTTCACAAACGATAGTTTGTAACAAACCATATCAGGGCGGGGAGTCCCATCTTTGGGGGGGGTTCAGACCTTCACCAGCGGTGGCTCGGCTCCTCCCCACGCGCGCAGCTCGCGGTGACGATGCCCGTGCCTCGAGGCCATGTGACCTTGCTGCGCTTGGAAAACGCCCCTCAGGCGGGCGACACACCCGAACCCTCGAGTGCCGAGCGAACGAGTGAACGGTCGGAACGAAGTAACGAGTGACGCGGAACTTGGGGATGGATCAGGAACAGGTGATGTTCTTTTTGAGGGAAGGTGTTTTTGGGATCGCAAGACGAAAGGCAGCACACATCCTGAAGTGTATATCAGTTGTATATGGGATGTACAAAGTGGATCTCCATTTACAGTTGCCGGTGCATTTCTTCAAAAAAGCACGAGTTGATCGCAGATGCTGTAGGACAGTCCATTTCATTGTTGGGAGAGTGTTTTAAGATATTAATTAAGTGTTTCACTATGTTGTTCAATGTGTTTATGAAAGAGGGAGAAGTGATTCTCCACCGAAGCTCGGCATCGGACGCCGCGGATCGCCTTGGCCCGGTCGGTCCATCCAGGTGCCGAGCGGTCGAGCAGTCATGCAGGTGGGATTGGGTGGGACCTGCAGATGCAGCGGATGAAACCGAAAAAAAAAAAACACACAAAAGCCCAAGGGGGGTTGAGGGTTGGTGAGTTCATGGGAGAACTGACTGAACTGACTGTCTGACTGTATGGTGGGTAATTGATTGGTTTGGTTCTTACTTGGGAGATCCTTTTGGTGGAATTGTCGACTTCTGTAGCGAAGTGAAGGCAGATGTTCCTTTGCTGTCCCGACTTGTTCCCAAGCCGCCAGGTATTCGTCCTTTTCACAGGACGAATGGAAAACATCCCACCAACTCAATGACTCAACCAGGAAAATCCAGATGTCCATGTTACATGAACCGATGTTTAGAACAGCGCCCCGTGAGAAAGCGATGTGAGACAGATAATCATAATATGTGGAGGGTGCAGGGTAAGAGAGTAAGTTCCAGAAGAAAGTCTGAAGAGCTCGGTCAAGCATGGGACTTCACGAAAGCTTCACATCAGTGAGTGTCCGTCTCGGACGTTCCGGTTTGGGCCACCACTGCCCCTCGGAGGATCTGCGTTGCAAGGAACTTGGAGAAAGCACCCCGTTCCAAGAGTTAAGAGGGAGAGAGAGAGAGAGAGACGAGAGACGAGAGAGAATCAGAAAGAAAAAGGAAAACCCATCGGAGTCGGTTCGACCATTTTGACTAAAAGGAGAAAAGCGGTGGTGGTGCCACAAATAGTCCATCGGACTTAAGAATGAAAGAAACCAGTGCCTTCGAGCGTGGGACGCCGCCTGACCCCCTGACCGACCGCCTCCAATGGACCCAGCCCTCGAAAAGCAGGTCCCCAGCGACAAGGATCGCTTCAAGTCGCGGGGCACGGTGACGTCGCTGTCGCTCAGCCGGGGCGCCCCGGTGGGCGCGGACGGGGGGAAGGGGGACTGAGAACCGGTGTTGGTCGCAGTTTGGGTGGAGGGATTTTAGGTCGAAGGGCCACGGGTTTTGGGGTATATGAGTAGGTCGGTGGCTGGAAAGGTTGCTGGGATGGAGCAAACGATTAGAGGTGTAATTAGTGTGGAATTTTGAGGCACCCTCACATATCATCTCACATCAATAAGTTCATGATAGGCGAAATGGACTTTGGCCGTCTGAGCTCGCGACCTTAGAGCCAACCGGGACGCACGGAGCACCGCAGAGCGCCACTGCGAGCCGATTTCAGTGTCTCGATCCAGCTATCAAAAGACCTCGTGAAGTGGAGCTATCCCAACTAAGCGTTCAATTGTTGACTGTTGGTTTAACAATTACTGTATGTGTTGTGTTGTGTTATATAAAGCTGTTAAATTGTTGACATGTTTGTGAGCTGGTTTCGTTTCAGCCCGCTTGGCCTGCTGATGTGAACGATCCGATGCCGCGCTCCCGACGCTCCGATCGCCGCAGAATCCTCTCCCAGCGAAGTGATGCATTCGGTGCAGCTGAACTTTGGCCACGTGGAGGTGCGGCGAGTTGTCAAAGAGAGGAAGGAGAGCAGAAAGAAGAACTGAGGGCGGTTCTTTGGGATCCTCGAAAAGAATGGTTTGGCGGTTGGCCAACATGTTCTTCCGGTTCGCTCACGTGTTTTTTTCCGTATGGTCCTGGCGAACTGGAAAGTTGGCCACGGTTTGTGGCGAGTAGCTATGCAGTTGAGGGTACAAGGGGATGATCACAATCCTTGTCGGGCGCCGAGGTGTCCACCGTTTTGGAAAGGTAGCAGCTTGTCATGAGGCATTCCGAGGGCAACTCCCAAGGCTCGCAAGGCCACCAGCAATCTCCTGGAGCACACAGAACAGGAACCCAACTAGTTGAGTCATGTCCTCGCCCTTTGGCGCCCTTCGGCTTGGCAGCGCCATGTAGAGCAGAGCCATGGCGTGGCATGTCTTGAGTATGGATTACAAGAAAGCTTGGAGGTGAGGCATCCCTCAAACAGACAGTTCATAAGTTCACCCTGAACTTGCGGAGAAGTTGGGGAGAGGAGGCTCTGTTGCATGTTCTCCGTAAACCCATCAAAGTTCCAGAATCTGTTCATGTGACGGATGGTCAGTTCATTGCTGGAATGGAGGGTAGCCCTTCCGCTCGTCACTCAACCCACTAAAAGGGTTCTTTCCCAAAAGCTTTTGGGGACACCCCATGGTCTGGAGGACGGTGCTTTTCCTTGGGCAGTCTCAACCCCACAGGCCAAAGGTGTTCAAAGCTGCCATGTCGTGCCTGGCAGCTGCGGTGCCTGGCGCAGCTGCGGTGCACCACGAGCGGCACGGCACCGGCGCCCGTCGTTGGCGCCCGAAGCGGATGATCTCTGCTGATGTCGTGGTGCATCACAAGCAAGGCCGCACAAGCGACATAAGTCCGATCCCTCAGCAGTTGGGTGATCCCAAGGCAGACTGGCAGTCTGGTAAGATCATCGTCGTCGTCATCATCATCATCATCATCATCATCAGTGAATCACCAGTCCAAGTCAGGAAGAGAAGATTGTCCGTGATTTTTTCGCAAACGACTTGAAAGATGAAACCCATTTCGGGTACTCATTCTTTTCTCGCAGTTTCTCGTCCCTTTGCCAGGATTGTGAAGGTGAAGTCCGACTCCCACGCTGAAGGACTTCAAGGCAAGCTTGAGGGATGAAGAGACATTGCTGAGGGATCGGCAGGCAACGCTTTGGGACGATGTATTGCGGCAATTTTGTTGGTTTTAACAGGGGAAACCTGGTAGGTTCAGATCCTCTCCATCCAATCCGCAGATGTGATGGTTGCACTAGTATTGTAGGTGGGCATCATGTCGCAGAAGTGACCGCGGTTTTAGAACCAATGCCAAGTCTTGGGGACTTGGAATTCATTCTTAACCGGTCATCACCATCGATATTTGGTCGGTTAATTCCCGGTTCAGCAACCGCTTTGCAACATGGAGATACCACGAAGAACCCACCCGCCCTTGCAGCTTTTCAGTGCACCAGGGTACGAGAAAGCCCGAAGGTGCTGGTCATTCCGCCTTCCCATCATATTGTAGGCTCAGTGCGACGTCTGGGCCCTCGAGCGTTCCAGCGCTGCAGCAAACGCTCGCTTTGCCCAACGGCCTCCTGGCACGATCCTAAGAACTCACGCTGCACAGTCGATGAGCATTTGTCAGAAGCCAAACAAAGAGTTCGCAGCTTTTCAGTGGAAAATGTCCAGGTAGTCAGCATTTGTCGTAGAAGTGATTGATTTCATTTGCAGATCGCCTCAAACGGTCGTTGCAAGCATATTCTCCCAACCACTTCCAGCCGATGCAGTGGACCCTTCAAGCACTCACTTCGATCTGTCAACGATCTCCGCGTTGTGCGCGTCTCCGCCCGGTGCCGGTTCACTGAAAAACTGGAAGTTCCAGCTGTGGTGAAGGGAGTCCGGAAGACTCGCCATGGTCCGTGAACGTTCCAAACCGGCGACGATTTAATCATGTTTTGTTGTTGCAAAGTCTTGAGACTTGAGCTGTATTTGGATCCACAAGTATTTGTAGTCAAGAGTCAACAGTTCTATGTGTTCTAGTTATACCACCATTAAATTCGCCTCTCGGTGGTTTTGACCGCCGCATGGCGTTGCCGGCCGCAGTGCTGCCAAAGGTGCTCGCCTTTGTGCCGGAAAACCTGCGATGCAATTGCTGCCGGTTGTCAGCCATGACGCCAAAGATAGCGTTGAAGCTGAATGTTGGACACACATCGTGGCTTTCGTGCCAGCTGATGTGCACTGCCTCTCATCGCTGAGGGTGGCCAGCCAACATGCCAAAGAGTATGTGGACAGACGGTGGTGGACAGCACAGGTGAAGATGATGAAAGCCTTTGTGGATCGACGTGCAGATCTATTCCCTCAGAATGAATTGACAGAAGCTGTTTCCATCGAAGACCGACAAGAAGCAGAAGCCTTTGCTCGGAATGGGCTGCTTTGGGTGAAGCCGCTCCTGGTGAATCAGCCGTGGAAGCCTGGAGAGTCCGCAGATTTTGACGCTGGCGCCAGAGGTGAGGTCGCTCCGCAAGCAGCGTTCTTCCATCTCAGAGGAGCACTGGGGCGCTTGAGTGACTTTGGCCTTTTTTGACTGACTCAGTACCTCCCCTTTGTCGAGAATGGACCCCTGAGACCGTTTTGTTCTGAGGGTCCATGTAAGTTTGAGGGTAGCTAGTCATGCCATTCAGCATCCCATAAATTGTGCAAGTTGAAGCTATTTATCCCGGAAGAAGCCCAAAGTATTGCCAGTCTATTGCCTAATTCATCATTTGGAATAGACTACTAATTTCTAAAGATATGTCCCAGCGTCGTTATCCACATCTGGGGGTAGGACCGAGACATGTTGCAATTGAGTCACAAAGCCTCACCAGTAGACCTCCGCATGCATGTTTATCGGGAAAGCACAGTGCTCCTTTGTTGGAGGTGATACTAGGTGCACTGGGCATGTTTTCACACTGTTTACGAGAATGCGACTCTCCCCCGGTTTGCAATCGTGGCTTGGTTTCTGATTGTAAGAACTTGAAGCCCCTACGATCGTTGGAATGATCCTCTCAAGTCTCGGACCACCACACCTTTGATGTTTAAAGTAGGACAGCGTCTTATCGTCGATTTCTTGGCTTCGTCTAAGTGCGCATCCCACCCATTAAGACCTTGGTGCCAACAGACCTTTGAAAGGTTCTTATTCAAGACAGTTTAATCTTAAAAGAAAGATGTCCCCCAACTGCATACTGATGCACAAAGCAGCTGTCTTGGGGCATCCTTCGTTGAGAGATGAGTCTATTTTCTGAAGATTGCTGAACTAGGTTCCAACTGTCTTCCTCATGTCATCTCCTAGGTGAGAGGAGCAACGAAGTGCTCCGAGAGATCCTCCAACAGGCACGTCACATCGAAGCCTATCATCTGAGGCATGAAACGTCTGAGTATACTAGAGTCTCCAGAAGTGATGCCAGGCACATGCAAGACCTTCAACTTGAAGGCGGCAACGTTCCACAGATGGTGGCCACCCTGTTGACGACGGAGGAAGATGTCGCATCTGGATCCTTTGTCACGGAAATGACTGGAGAAGGAGAGCTGCCAGAGGCGGTGCGGACTGTGATGGCTGTTGTGGGCAACGACGAGGACATGGCTCGGGACGTTCTCAGCGCTTTGCAACAAAGTGGACTCTTTCTACTTGATACTGTCTCTGAGATGAGTGAACCAGACTCACATTTGTTGAACAATGAGGAATTAGTCAGAGACTTGGATGAACCCAGATGGGTTCCCCATCCACCCCTTACTGCCATGTCGGACCATACACGATGCAGGGCTAGATTCAGACTTGGTTTGATATTCTTGATTGTCATCAGTGTGGTACTCTTTGGATTCCCGGACCATGGAAATACTGGTCATGGTCAAACTTCCATGAAGAGAAGTGTGATGTCGTGCAAGACTGGGTGGCTTCGCTTCAATTTACGGCCGAGTTATAGAAGAAGCTTGTCATCTCCTCATTCAAAGCAGCAATCCAAGCACTTGCGGTACAACGGCAAAGATGATCAGCTTTCGCAAGCGAATCAGCCCGTTCCTCATGGGATCACGGGGCGTACTAGGCCTCCTCGGAAAGCAAGTCGGATTCCAATCGGGCATCCAATAATCAAATGCTTGTACCCGACGAAAGGTGGTTGGACAAGACTTCATCAAGCAGCTGACAGTGGCAACCTGTTTCAAGTGATATTTCTTCTTGCACTAGGTGATGACAAGGAAGCAGCCGCGGCAAATGGTTCCACAGCATTGCATTTGGCAGCCAAGCAAGGCCACCAGAGTGTGGTAGATGCGCT